TAACGGTTTGTCTGCGTTTCTCAGCACATCATGACAGAGCCCGACGAGATCACCACCATGTCGGGTCAGAAGCTTCCTCTGAAGATGTCGGTGGACTACATCTCCTTCTCAGCTCACACAGACTACCAACAGACCAGCGAGTTCATCAGAGCTCTCAAGCCTCCTCATGTGGTAATCAGATTTATTCACTCACTCTCAGCTTATCAGTAAACAGATGACAGCGTTTCAAAAGTGCTAAAATTGTAGCAGCTGTATAATTGTTAATCATGACTCAGTCCAATCGCTCAGCAGAGCAGAGATCATCTAATGAGAGTAAGACGTCTGTGCGCTGTGGACCTTCGCATGCAGCTTCAGTCCTGGACCTGGAGTTTTTCTTTGTTGCTCTACTGACTGAAACTGTGCACAGCACTCGGTCTGATGTCGGGAACAGGTGAGTTTAGTTTAACGTGTGCTGATCCTGGGTCTGCAGATTCTCGTCCACGGCGAGCAGAACGAGATGGCGCGTCTGAAGGCGGCGTTGATCCGCGAGTACGAGGACAACGATGAGGTCCACATCGAGGTTCACAACCCGAGGAACACCGAGGCCGTCACGCTCAACTTCAGAGGAGAGAAACTGGCCAAGGTCCTCCTGAAAACCATCCGCAGCTTTAAGCGTGTCTTGTTTCACCTTCTGCCACCTTAACTCCCAGCATCCTCTGCTGCAGGTGATGGGCTCCCTTGCCGACAAGAAGTGCATTCAGGGTCAGCGGGTCTCTGGGATTCTCGTCAAACGAAACTTCAACTATCACATCCTGTCGCCCTCCGACCTCTCCAGTCAGTAACTCAGTTTACCTGCACTAATTATTCCAGCCTGATGCTGGTCCCTGAACGCATCGCCTGTTGCTTCCTGACATTTGTGCTCTCTGTACAGACTACACTGACCTGTCGATGGGCATGGTGACTCAGACGCAGGCCATCCCATACACCGGACCCATCTCACTGCTGGTCAGCCAGCTGAGAAACCTCGCAGGTAAGAAAGCAGCAAAGCTCACCTGGACTCACCTGACTCGGGTCATCCAGAGTAAAACTTAAGCTGGCTCCTCCCATTACCGGAAGTTTTGTGAGGCGATGCATTAGAAATATTTAATGGGATCTTTGGTTGTGAATTTTTCTGCATGTCAGACTTGATGATACGTGGGCTTAAAAATGTTCATGTTAGTTTCTGAGGGTGTTTCACCTCCATCAGGACGTTTACAGAGAATGATGGAGACAATGTCTTTACAATACAAAGCACCTTGAGGCAACTGTTGTTGTTATTTGGAACTATATAAATAAAAGTGAACTGAAGTTTAATTGAATACGGTCCACAGAGCGTTCATGAGCTGCTCTTTGTGTTTCAGGCGATGTGGAGCAGGTGGAGGGAACTGAGAAAATCACCGTGAGAATCTTTAAGAGCATCACGATGGTTCATGAAGCCAGCATGGTGCTGCTAGAGGTCAGACACACACACACACACATACACTACAGCCCATGTGAGCAGAGGTGCTGTGATTTCGTACAGCCTTTGTTGTTCATGAATGCAGCTTCAGTGCTCTGTCTGAAACAAATTGTTCAGATTTATTTCAAACAGGAACTCACTAATTGGAGGAAAATTAATTTTGCTTCATACTTAAGCAGCTGTTGAAGTTTTTTTAATTTCAGATCTTTTGTTTCTTTGTTGTAAATTTGTTTTTTCGTTTTTTTTTTTAAAAGTGTTACAGATCCAGAATTTTACCAATTAGTTCACTAATTTCTGTTTCATTTTGCCATCATTGAAGTAAGTAAGTGTTTCTTCTTGATTTGTTTCCTCAGTGGATCGCCAATCCGCTCAATGACATGTACGCTGACGCCGTTGCCACTGTCATCCTCGAGGTCCAGTCCAACCCCAACGCCCAGAAGTGTCAGTAAACACAGTACGGCAGTTTGAAGTGCAATGTTTGGGGACAGTGCAGAATCTGTAACATCTGTGTGTTTGTGTGTTTCAGTTGTGGAGGGGAAGAAGGAAAGTTTCGACATGGACGTGTTTGTGGAGAGGCTTGCGCTCATGCTGCAGTGAGTCGCTGCTACACACAGACATGTGCACACACAAACACCACACACACCGACACACACAGACCCAAGAAAGGATTTCATTTCTAACTTAGCATTTTCAAAAATTTCAAAGTAAAAGTCCCCAAGTGGTAGACTAACTTGTATTGTGTTGCAGCGACATGTTTGGGGATGACTGCGTGAATTTCAAAGATGGTAAAAACCTCAGCGTGACCGTGGACGGCGTCACAGCGTCAGTAGACCCAGAGACCAGAGTGAGTATGAGGAGTGGGCAGAGTTAGACCTTCTGACAGAACACAAAACTCTGACCTTTAGCACAGGGGGCTGTGCAGTTTAAGCTGCATTAAGGTCATGTGACATAAATCTGGTGTTAAGGATCATTTTGTTTTAAATCCTCAGACTTCCTGTTACAGAACCCGATCTGTTCATGAAAAACCTGAAAGTATGGGTACTTCCTGTTCCCGCTGCAGGGCTTTATGTTAAGTTTAAACCTCAAAGCATGTAAATAAGAGACGGCGCCTCTGAGATGTCATTGGCTGAAGTTCTGTCAGGCTGCACTCACACAGAGAAATTACCTGACCTTCATGCGACTGAGATCAGCTCTGATCAGTCATTATTACATCATGACGGCATAAAAGTTGTTGGGTTGAGTTGACAGTTGCATGCTCTCTGTTCATGATGACACAGATTAACTGATAAATCAGGGAACATCAAAAGTCTGTGTCCATCTGAAAACCAAAATTCACTTTAACTTCATACATTCAGAGATCTGAAACAGATTCTTCCACAGATAATAAACACAGATCCTCGCCAACCTTGCTTTCATATAGGAACACACCCAGTTAGCAACCACTGGAGTCCCCAGTTGTAAAGACTAGTTAGTTGCACTCAGACCGATTGCAACTCATTGACAAACTGGCTTTCTACTAAATCTGATGCTGATCATTTGTAAACCTTAAGCAGTCTGTGTGATTGCAGTGACTCTGACCTCCCAGCAGGCAGCTGTGCAGTTTCCATGAGACTGAAAGTCAGCTGCTGAACAGGAAGAAAACTTCAGTGCAACTGATTTTTTTATTTTCTCTGGAGTCCAAAATGTGTGAGGAATTGGGGGGGGATGTGTAGCACACACGTGATTTTTTTCTGTCTGTGTTCAGACAGCAGTATTGAGTGAATGCTTCATGATACCGTGATACACAAAATATCCCTGTAAAGCTCGCCTTCTCTCATTTCAAAAGCCCCTTGAATTTTCTTTCTAACACACACAGTAACATTTAAAGAGCGCCTGTAAGGTAAAGCCTGTAAAGGGCTAAACTGAACTCAGACTTGCTCAAGCTTATTTTCTCAGACTACTATACAGTCACAGTCAGTGCTACTGAGCTTAACTTACAGTTGCTTCCTGGTTATGTGTGAAATTAATAGTTTCACATATGTTATTTATGCAAGTATTTTTTTTGTTTCTGTAGAAAATGATGTAATACCCTTTATTTGACCTCTGTGTGTTACTCTGCAGTTGGTGTCATGCGCAGAGGACGAGACTCTAAGGGAGATGATAGAAGTCGCTGTCCATCGGCTCCATGACGCCCTAAGCCCTGCTTTCTGACAGGCCACCCACAGTGATGTCACAGGGGATGCTTTTGTACCTCCAGGAGATGCTTTTGTACCGATTTCCTATAAAAATGAATGCTTCTTTTTTTATGTGTAAAATAAACTTCAGTTGAGTTTCTCAGTCTGTTTCCTTTAGACCATCAAAGCCTCCGATGGCCGCTTTAAAAAGGTTTACACTTATTTCAGTCATGCTGGCTTATTCTGGATACATAAAACATCATCTCCAATGGTGTTCTGCAGATCTGTTAGCTGTAGCTTCACAGCCTCAGACACTGACTGTATGTAACAGATGGACATTTGTAGACCACATTTGAACAAGAGGGTGGAGTGCTAGGTGATCAGCTATTCCACAGGCACAGATACCTGCTAATTAGTGCAGTATTATCTTCAACACACAAACAGTACAGAGTCTTAGAAATGTCTTTATTTTTTAAACCAAAAGCAGAATTTTCTAACATGTAATGATATATTAAATCCGACACCACTTCAGTGATGTGACAGTAAACGTGTAGATACAGCAGAGCATCATCTGCACAGAAGAGCACATGAAATTAAAAACACTGGCTCTATTGCATCAGGATACCAGATAAGAGGAGCTCACTGCTGACTGATTGTCGCTTTTTAAATAAAATTTAAAAAAAAATGGATTTTCAGCTTTGGTGCTTGAACCTGGTTTGTTTTTATGCAAGAAAAAGTCCTGCTTTTCTTTAGAAAATTAGAACAATATTCATTTTAAATGTTTTGTTTTATTTCCACATTTTCCCTGGGTTTTTTTCTCCTAAAAGTCTTGTAGACTTTGAAACTCTTGAAGGTGAGCATTAAACTTTGCCTTACAAAACAGTAGAAAAAAACATTTGAAAAAATATTCAGAAAACCATAAACTGTAATTTCACCAATCCTGAATCTGAGATGCACGAAGTGCTTTAAAAAAACAAAACAAAAAGCCCAAAACAAACAAACAAAAACACATCAGCTTAATTTAAACGATTAAAATGAGGCTCCAAACACAAACAGTCCAAAGGGCTTTGCAGGAGGATAAAATATTTTACGTTCATATATTTACAGAGGCTCAGTACGTTGAGCAAGGCACGAACACTGACAGGTTTGATTCCCGGAGCTGCTGAGTTGCTTCACTGAACAGGACGGGTTGTTTTAGAGCAGGGGTGGGCATCTCCAGGCCTCGAGGGCCGATGTGCTGAAAGATTTAGATATCACCCTTGGTCAACACACCTGAATCACATGATTAGTTCGTTACCAAGTCTCTGGAGAACTTCAGCAAATGTTGAGGAGGTAAATATAGCCAGTTGAATCAGCTGTGTTGGCTCAAGGACACATTTAAAACCTGCAGGACACCAGCCCTCGAGGCCTGGAGTTGGCCACCTGTTTTAGAGGAACACAAAGAACTGGCGTGAAAGACTAAAGTGCAAAACATCTGGAAGGAAAATGAACAGATACAAAAGCTGCGATGCCTGTACTGAAGCCCTGCCCCCAACGACACCATTATTGAGTAACAAGTGAAATCGAGACATGAACGCGTCAGGAGGTCGTTTACTGAGGTCAACGGTCAAGGAAGCAGGAGTCTCTTTTAGACACTGAGGAGGCGCCCCCTGCTGGTCACTGCTGCAGGTTTAAGGCACTACAGTGTTTTTATATTGTAATAAGGACATTTTGTCCACTGATAGTGAATAACGATATAAATCAAAGCACGTTATCTGAAGATTTCTTTGTTTTACTTTTTGAGTTTACTTTCTGTTGTACGTAGAATTTAGATTCATTGAAACAACTGATCCCAGACCCTGCAGTTCCTCTATCATCCAATAGAGGCGCCAGCAGGCTACCATGTTTTTTATATCAGTATTTAAAACATATTTTCGGGGCTAAGTCCATCTTGTATACGTCTGTGGTCTGAGTGCCAGCTGTTGAGGCTTTTGTCTTACAGAGTATGACACTCTGCAGTCTGGAACGGATCCTGACGAAGATGCAGCTAAAGGTGGAGCCGGGATTTCGTTGTACATGTACAATGGCAAAGAGCTATTCTATGAAGGTGGAGGCACTCGCCGCCTCAGCACTGTGTCTCCTTGCTGTCGATCTGATGCTGCCTCTGCAGCCTGAACACCTTTGCCTTCTCACTGCGACTCATCTTCTCTGTCAGGTCCTCGAAGGAGCGCCGGGTTGCCCCTGCTGGACGTCCGAACGCCTCCTCAAGGGATGCCTCCTCCAGGTGGGAGTCTGAGCTGGGGTCCTCTTGGATGGTGGCCATGCGGGGGCTGTCCAGAGGAGGTGGGCTTTGGGCTGGGTCGGCGCCAGTCTGCTCGGGGCCACTGGGATGAAAGCGAAGGGGGCCGGAGGAGAACGTTGGAGATTTGAAGATCCGAACGGAGGCCGAATCCAGGCTGCTCAAGAGCTCGGCATTCTGGGAAAACAGAGAGACGTGTGTGAGAGCATGTCCGAGAATTAAATTTTAAAAACCTTCTTTACTCAGATATTTGTGCTCACGCTGGGGAACAGAAGTGACTTGGTGGTCTGCTCGTACTGCCTATCGAGTTTCCGGTCCTGAAACCAAAGAAGTGCGACAAAATTCAGACTTCAAAGGCGACCCGAACCCTCCAGCCCCCCCACAGATGCGATCACAGATGCCACTCACCACACAGTGCACCAGGATGCTGAAAGGAACCCAGAACAGCAGCGAGAACGCCACCACTGAGCCCACGATGTTATCAGCCAGAAACTTCCAGAACGTGTTGATGTCCAGCTTATCGATGAAGTCCCACAGACGCTCCACCACGTCCTGCACCTGCTTCATGCATTTTCCCTGCAGGCACAGGAAACGGTCATCACTTCCTGTCGCCTTCAGTGTAAAAGCTCTGAATATTTAGCGATGGTCTCACCGCTCCATCGCAGAAACCCACGGTACAGGGTTTGCCCTTCCTGAGAAAAAGGAAACTGCCTGATATGTCCTGATAGGGGGTGCAGACGCCGCCGCTGCTCCGACAGCAGACTTTACAGGAAGCGTTGGTTTCTTAGAGGAACAAAGGCAGAAACAACGGCTTTAGCTGCAGCATGAAACAGACTGAAACTACCTCCAGGAGAAAAACAAAACAGAGTTTGAGAGAAGAAGCATTGCACACATAACTGCAGATGTGATTCTCTGCAGTCAGCTGGGGTTTTTTTTTTAAGTTTATTTTGTTTTAAAAAAAAAAAAAAAAAAAAAAAAAAGGAA